AGATTGATCTGTCTTGTCATGTCGTGCAGTTTATATCGTCTATGATATTGATATTTATATGGTCCAGTGTTATATATATTTTCATAGAAATGATGTGAAGATTGTAATATATAACTAAAATACTTTTTGATACAATACTCGTATTATTCTATACCTTTCTACAATAATAGTTAATTTAACTAGTGCTTTAACTATATTAAATTATTGGCTTATGGCTATACATCCTATTAAAAATCTAAATACAATGATTTTTATTAATAAAGTTTTTCGTACCATGTATATGTATATATTGTATATTTGTGTATATCTGTTTATACACATTATATGTATATTTATTTTTTAAATAAAGTAATAACCTTAACTCAAGAATGACCTTAACTCAAGAACTTTTGACATGCAATACGAGCAATAGCCCCATAAGTCTGTGTCAGAAACAATATTCGCAAATATTTTAAGACATATATGAAGTACAAATATACACTGTATGGTATATTCATATATAAACATATAAAAAGTAGAAATCTATTAAAAATAAAAATATTTAAAAATGACTTGTGGTGAAAGTTGAAAAATTGAAATTTTGTGTAAAAGAGCGCAAAGTGTTTTGCATGCATTTGGCAATTTAGCATAGCAGCAAACATCCTTTTTAGCATTTAATGTGGTGCAATTGCTTGCACTTCATGCAATTGCATGCATTTACTGTTCTGTTTCTGTTCGGTGTGAGATAAAAAGTCAGATACCGCAATGCCAAGCCATGGATCACTTGTCAACATCAAGTGTGCTTAACAAGAGCATCATTAAAATATTTTAACGACTTCATTTAATGTTTAACATAATATTTACAACTGTAATAAAAATTTCAAATTTAAGTATCACAACAAAAAAAAATTTAATAAATAAATAAATAATATATTAACTGAAAATATTTTACATTGCAGCGTTGACAACATTTTATGTTGCTACCCATAAGTAACTAAGAGTGCATGAGATACTTCAATCTCACCTCTGCGTAAACATGTTGCAACAGTGTCACTTAGTGCCTATGTGGCTCTGTGGCTCAGTATTCAATGAGTTTGTGTTCCCTGAGCTTCATTATCAAAGTAAAAATAAATCAAATATTTAAATGGCGTAAATGAGCAGACGTAAATCACTGCAGTGCCTTAAGAAAATTTCCCAGCGTTGAAATTCAAAAAAGGCAAATAAAGTTGAAAAAAAAAATTGTCTTAACATTATTTTCTTTCATATGAAAAGCATCTTGTGACACATTAAAGTTGCGCGCTGACGGATACGCTCTGTCTGTTGCTAAGCTATCTATAGTATCTATAGTAATTGTTTTCACACTTTGAGATTTTCTTCAGTTTTATGGCAGAATAGGATTGGATAAAGTATACATAAAATAGAATATACGAATAATCAAATCTTTTTACTAAAGTTTTATAACCTGCTCAATAATATATGGAAATTATTTCAATTTTAGTTTAACACTTTATTAAATGATATGCCTTTTACTTCAGAAATATCTTTTATTGTTGTCTACGCTTTTATTTAGTTATAGGATTCAAAGATAAATTTAGAGATAAGTAAATATTTTCGATGTATGGATAGTTTTCTCGGTCTTAGGTGTTCCAATTTTTAAGATTTAATTTAATCGTTAAATATATAACATATTTATATGTTATAACATATTTAAGACATAAATTAATATGTAAAAAAACGATTGACACTTTTATCTATCAATAAATTGTGAAATATTGTGATACAATGTTGATATTCTTCTATGCTGTTTGTTATTAAAATATTAACTTTAATAATAATTAAACCTTAATAGGATTTCTCCTAATATTTTTAATGTAGAATTAGGTTTTTTTTTGTTTTGTAGTGGGGAGTTGAAAGATTTATACACGTTTAAACCGACCAGTGTGCCTAACTCCTTAATATATTACTGGTTAGTATAGGAAGACTAAAATTCTGATTTTACACCTTACTCTTTAGTTTTACGATCGGTGTCCAGACCTCAACTTTTTTACCATATTTTTACTACATACCTGTCCTATTTAATACTCTAGTTTCTGCTTTTCCTCTTTAGGTATAATTTCTTCGCTTTGAGGAATTCAATCACATATGACTACCATTTGTCAGATTTCTGGGTTCTTTCTCATCCTGTCAGCTACATTTTTTGAAATATTATTTTATTAAATTTATTTCCTAATAAATATATCATTAACAAAGTTTTAAGCCTCTTTCAAATTGGCATTTTACACCATACTCTTTAGATTTACGATCGGCGTCCAGACTTCAACTTTTTTACAGCATTTATCGGTATCTCTGGGTTCGCTCTCGTCCTTTCTGGTGCGAGTTTGGAAATATTATTTTATTAAGTATATTTCTTAATTAATACATCATTAACCAAATGTTATTGAAATTTTAGTAACTTATAATTAAATTATTGCTGTAAAATTTTTTGGCATGTATAAGAAAATTTTATATGTAACAGATATATTTTTTTATATGCACATGATTTAAAGGCATTACAAAACTAATGCGTTAAGCAAATAATCTAAGGCGCTTAACGTTGTTCATGGTTGTCTGGATGTACAAAGACCGTTGTTCTTTTTTTTAATTGTTTGCCTATGAATTTCATACGGTTGTGTACATATATATTGTGTACATATATATTGTGTACATAATTCCTTCTGCTACACACTTTTATGAATTCATAGTAATCATCACACATCATGTTCCTAAGTAGCCGTAACGAAAATAAAAATCGAACTCCATAAAAGTAACACAAGGACTTAGTTATGTGCACATGGAGTGCTTAACAATAGCAGCACAAAGGATGCATACAAATACCTAAACACAATTATACATAAACTGAGATAAAAATACCGGAATGTCCTTAGCAGTTTGTATACGAGTATCCTTGCATACAGTCTTTTATTGCCTTTGCTCTTTGTTACAAAAGACACAAGCGTGAAACAATGTGTGATTAAGTGGCTAGCAGTAAGGATACAATTTCTGCTGGCTTGGCTAAATGGAAAAAGGACAATAAGTTTACCACAATGGCTGCCATACAAACATACTTGAGATTATGTTCATTTTAATTTTAGTTTTTTGTTTCTAATGTATTATTTGGTTTATTTTGTTTTGTGTAGAAAAAAAGGTTTTTAGTGCAAATTAACAATATAGTAAATCCGCTTATGTATTTAGATTTTTTTAATTGAAAAATTTTAAAAGAAATTTTTGTTAATTTGTAGAAAGTCATTTTCTTATATATCTAATGGAAAATTATTCCTTTTCGTTATTGTAGCAGTTTACATTGAAAGCTGGAACATTTTTTACTAAAATCTATGTAGTACTGTCTTAAT